GTAGATGGATAGTTGATTTCCACTTTTAAATAAAGAAAGAATTTTAACACGCGACAACTCAATTTTTTTTCTTTTTCTAACGTTTTTCTCAAACTAATTCTGATTTTTTCTCTTCCCGTTGCTTAGTACAGAATAGAATAGTAAAACGCTCTTCATATGACACGTCGTATGGACGATATTCATATAATGGAAATACCAACACAAAATCAAACGATTATAAAGTCTTCCACTGGTTTAACGGATAAAAAAAAACAAAACGAACGATTTCAACAATCAGCAAAAAAGCCGATATCGAAATCTAAACAAAGCATTCCATCACCAATTATTCAGTCCAGGCCATTAGTTGCCAGTAATATAAAAGAACACTTTGTCTGGGCATTAGTATTAACAATATTATGTTTTTTTGTAATTGGACCGATAATTTCATTATTATATAGTCGAAAAATTAAACAAATGAAACAAAATAACGATTTAGAAAATGCTCAAAAGCTTTCGAATAGATCATCAGTTATCTTAGTGACATCGACTTTGATCGGCGTTATCATCTGGATTAGCATAGCGTTTTGTACGCTGGGATTATTATTGATTGGGAAGTTGATAGGCAGCAATAGTATATAATCGTTATCGATTCACGTGAGTTTCAACGAAAGAATCTCTTTATATAAAGTCAGTTGTGATACAAAAGCCCTGTGGTCATTTTTTTTTGTTATTTAAAAGTGTTTCTTTCTATATTATATATTTCTTATTTTCTGACATGTTTTATTCATTAACTTTTTGTTCTGATTTTTTTGATGAAATATGATTTATACACTTTATAAAAAAACCTAATAATTGTAAGCGTTAATTTTTACTCACAATTGAAGAGTATTCGGTACTGAACGATACATTATGAACAGGAATTTTGTTAGGAGAGTCTGTAAAACCGTTATAAATGCAGTTTGATCTGTTCTATATTCTTCAAGGTTACACTGGACATTTTAGGAACGGTATTCTGACAACATTCTCGTTTGATCTTAGGTCCAAAGGTAGTCACTCTATAAAGAAAATCAAGCTCTTTCGATCTGCGCAAGGTCCACGTTGACAGCTGGTACCGTTCGAGAGTTATAAGCATTTTTCCTGAAGCCTCGAAATAGATCCCACGACATTGGGTTACTCTAAAACAGGTAAAAATACGGGTTTTCGACCATATTGAGTCGATTGATCATGTTGGTTTTCATTTTGAAAGCGATCTGGAATCACTAAGTCAATATTCCACAAAGGAGGGGGGAGGGGCGATTTCTATAAGAAAATGGCCCCCGCTGTTTTTGATTAATTCTTAGTGGTGGTGACAGCTGATCATATCCACATTTATTTTCATAAGTTACTTTTTTTCAACCATATCATTGGATAGCCCCTTCAGCTCTTCACAAAATGAGATTCTAGTCAGTTTCTACGACCTTGGACGACCGAATTACATGGTTTTTAACATTACGAATATAAATTCATTCCCTTGAATACCGTTTTCGATCGGTATCGTATTTTGCATGTTACTTTTTGATATAACATTGAAGCTTGGTCAGCATCTGCTATTGTGAAGAATTAAAGGGGCTATCCAATGATATGGTTGAAAAACTTCTAAAAGAAACTTTATTACTAGGTTGATTGCAGACCCTCAGCCGTCATAAGGCATTGAAAAACTACATTTTGGGCATCTTGACTGTATAAAAAAAGATTTATTTGACACAAAAATTCCCAGTACTGGAAATGATACTAGTTTTTAAGAGATTTTAGAACATTTTGAAATAGTTGTTTATACCACAGTAACTACGTATCGCATCGCATATAGCTGTAGAATGCTTTGGAGTAGTTCTTTTGAAAGTCTCCCAGAGCTTACATCGACTTGACGTAAATTGTTCTCGACTTTCAGGACTAGTAGGACTCAGTATGCTAATCAAAGTTCATCTGTCCATGAGGGAGGAAGGCGAGGGAGAAAGGTGTAACAGAAACTGCAAAATCCGTAGTCACCCAACAGAATCCCCTTTAACCTTCAAACTTCAGTTTTTTTCTTACGAAAAAAAAGTTTAAAAGTTTTCAAAAAAACTAAAAAGTCAAATAGATGAATAGTTTAATAAACTATCACGAACAGTTTTTATTACTATAGTCCCCTCCCAGTTTTAACATGCAGTATGTTCTGAAGTGCTCATATCTCTTCTATAATTAACTTCATAATTATTTTTTGTTATCACAGTAATATAGCCCAAACATTTCTCTAAATAATAAAGATGATTCTTTGGAGAACCTACTGTCATTATACTTAGGGCATACCAAAAGTAACGAGATTTACAGGTAAAACCCCCGCAGACTAGAGATAACGAAGTTTTCACTTCAGGAAGTATTTGAGCTATTAGACATGATTACCCACGCACAATAAATTTGTTTCAAAACATTTGGTGAACGTTTTTTCGAATCATCTGTGATCGAAAAATTCATCAATTTTGTTACAGCACTCAATGCGGTGATTAAAAGTCGTTTGATTTATTAAGCTTATGAATTAGATAGAACATCTGAAAATCACGTAGTATTGGACCCGTAGAATACGGTGAGTATAAAATATTTAGATACGTTTTGATGCGAGATACTAAAAAACAGCTTTGTGAATATACAGTTGAACATTGTCATAACGACTTTTGATGTTCAAAACGCTATCTGATGATTAGAAATTTGCTCTCTTTCCGTATCTGTCTTTTTATGTCGACAGACATTTTGTATTTGTTCAGGGATTTATTTTTTCTTGTTTAGTCATCGTTTTTGCAAAAAGTGAGTCATATGATCTAGAGAATTACGTAACGTAGAAACATTCGGAAAATGGGAGATAGCTCTCTGGATACTGAATGTGGATCATTTCACGTTCTATTTTTAAATAACCGTCCAGTAGTTGTCCGGCGCATATTTTTTGATTTGTAGACAGAATTGAGAAATGAATCTGTGGATAGATAGTACTCGAGATTCTAAACATTTACTCTGCCAGAAACTTTTTTCTATAGCATGTCCTTCGATCCAGAAAATTTCCTCCAAAAATCTACTTGTACGGCTGTAGTTCAGAAACGAATATCGACGCTAAAACAAACAGAAAATACAACACCAATATGTACAGTAGAATCGCCGTTTGATACTCTATTTAACTATGTGCTTTTCAATTTTCCGAAATGCAAGAAGAACATCTCTGAGGCTTAATTTTCCTATTTTCACAACTTTACGAGCCTCCCATGGGAAAATAATACATTCCTCCCGAACGGGGGCCAACATATATTTGTGACCTATTCTGCCAGGACTAGAAAAATAGGATTTCATTTATGGCTCACTAATTTCAAGCTTCAAAAAATCCTACGGTATTTTCGCTAGGATTTTCCGATCTTTTCAAACTCATCGAACATTGATCAAATCCTATTTTTCTAGTCCTGGTAGAATAGGTCACAAATATATGTTGACCCTCGTTTGGGAATGTATTATTTTCCCATGGGAGGCTCGTAAAGTTGTGAAAATAGGAAAATTAAGCCTCAGAGATGTTCTTCTTGCATTTACTAAAAAATTTTCAGCAGGATTTTCGTGATCAGCACATCGAGTCCTACTAATCGTGAAAGCCAGGAACAATTCACATCAAGTCGATATAATACAGCAGGTTCTCCAAAGAATCACCTTTGTTATGTAGAGAAATGTTTGGGCTATATTACTGTGATAACAAAAAATAATTATGAAGTTAATTATAGAAGAGATATGAGCACTTCAGAACATACTGCATGTTAAAACTGGGAGGGGACTATAGTAATAAAAACTGTTCGTGATAGTTTATTAAACTATTCATCTATTTGACTTTTTAGTTTTTTTGAAAACTTTTAAACTTTTTTTTTCGTAAGAAAAAAACTGAAGTTTGAAGGTTAAAGGGGATTCTGTTGGGTGACTACGGATTTTGCAGTTTCTGTTACACCTTCCTCCCTCGCCTTCCTTCCTCGTGGACAGATGAACTTACTGACACTCCGCTTTAGAAATGAGATTACTAGATATATTGCTGAGTGATGATACTCGTTAGTTTACACTGTTATATTTTCGCTCATGAAAATATTCATAGTATCTAATGATCAGGCACGATGTTGATTATGAAAAACTAGCCATAGGTAAAATATTTTTAAAAAATTTTCTTTGTTCATTCGACCTGAAAACTCACTGTAATGATTTCCATTCCAATAAGAAGAAGATTCTTCTTATATGTAACTTTATGTAATTGAATTTCACGGTATAAAAGAAATCTATTTAGCACCTCCTGTTTCTTTATGCATAGTTAACATTTCCTTTAACAATGTTTAACAATATTTTCTTAGGAGTCAAAGGTAAATGTTTTTATACCTTTGTCCGATAGAACGACGCTGACAAGCTTTTCTTATTCATTCCGGCATATATAACAAACTTTTTCTTGAAATAAATCAGATATTTTGCGAGTTTCTAAAGGGACTTAGAGCATTTTTTTGTACCTACTTTGAAAAACTTTGATGGATACTTACCGGTAATCTATCTGTCCCAAAGCAGTTCTGGAACACAATGTGAAATGTTAAACAAAATTCTCATATACGATTACTCCTCTGTAATTATAAACTTATTATGAATTTTAGTTGAGATATTAAATTACAATTTTTCACTCGAAATATTGTTTGTACTTGTGTAATATTTGATTCATTGGGGCAAACGAGGATGGTTCAAAAATTTTTTTGTGGTGCTCTTTTATTATCATCATTTTCGTACAATATGTGCGTAGCATTATTAAAAACAAGAGAACATATCAATTAATTTGAACGATATCGATTTTCTTGGTGGTTGTGAGAGACGAAACAATATTACCATCCGTAGTTGTTTTGATAACATTAATGAAACATGGATATCGAGCATAGCAACATTCGACGCAATTTTTTATTGAACTTCTGACTTTTTTTTTTCATTTATTAACCAAACAGACATTGAACATAGATACATTACTTTTTTCCATATTTAAATATGTATGGTACAGGTTGTTCTTGTACAATTTTTCTTAATAGGAGTGCCAACCAAGCTCTAGCAAACGGATTTGTTTCAATCATTTGCTTTAACGATGGTGATAAACGATGTCCCATATTTGGATTCGAATTCGAAGTGAGACTAGCAAATGGATTTTGACTAAGATTATTACTGATATTTTCGCTGTTGTTATTATTGTTAAAATTAAATGATCTTTTCCATTGTTTAACCGGCGAATATAATTTTCTCGAGGAATGATAAGATCCGTACAACATGTTTGAATACTCGGGTATGTTTTTAGTTATAAATACATAGGGTTGCTGTTGTTTTCCGTCTTGTCTGTAGTCATTTGAATTTGGTAAATAATATTTATTTGAATACGGTGGTGTTTCTAAATACTTTTGTTCGGCATTCAAATTTAACCATGTTTCAGCTTGCTGTTGTTGTTCATTTTGTCGTTCTCTTTCACCTTCTCCTAGTCCAGCTAGATCGTCATTTAGATTATCAAATGCAGAATTATGATTATTATGTCTTTGTGGCTCGACTGGCGATGATGAAATGGCTAATGGATCATTAACATAACGGACGTGTGTTGGAATGCTTTTTACGGGAATTGAAGAAACACTCCGTTGTAACATTGATGATAATAAAACAATAAATGTCACAAGATCGATAAGCATTATAAGGCGTCAAAAGTTCGTTAGATGTTCTGAAATACAAAAAAAAAGGAGAAAATACATCATCAAAAATAGACACGTATTAGATTAATTAACTTAAGCTTATTTAAAAGAAAGAAAACAAATATTGTATTTTGTTTTACTTAATCTCGTTATCTACGCCTTTTGTATACTAACAGAATAATAATGTTCATAATACAAATCTTCTCAACGATAAGGAGGGTGTATGATTTACAAGACTTTTTCGTATGTGAAATATCTATGCTTTCAAATTATTTTCTATAATCGCTATGATGATAGTATGTATATGCGATGTATTTTAACTACCAATAAAAAACAGAAGGGAAAATCTCTATGAGAAGATACCATAGAATACACTATAAAAATTGGTTTTCTCTTCCTAACCCTCTATGAAGCAGTACTGTATTCTAACTCTAACGAATGAGAGCGTATCAAAAATGACTATATCATAGCTTATCTCAGAAATAGTTTACTCCATTTTATTCTGCTTCCAGTAGTAGTTTCTTACACGAGACTGAAGTAGAAAGTTCAGCAAAATATCTAGTAGAAATCGTCCACAACAGTTGATTCAAATAGTACACTATCGTCCATCAGGAATGGTTAAATAATGTTTTGAGATTGTTAGCATCATCAGAAGATTAATTGATGAAGAGTAAAATATGATACAATGTGTTAAGAATTGTGAGTACGCATAGCGATAAAATCATAACAATATTGCTCGGGAAAAGCACGATTAGTAATATAGTTTAATACTGACATGTATTTATGAAATAAATACAATGTAACATACAATTTATGTTTAGACCGTTAGCGGACGTGGATGAACAACTAAATATCGTCTAGTTATTTCTGTAAAACATATTGTCTACTTGTTATTATTATTGAAAAATAATGAGTACATGTTTCTTTGAAAAGAACATTTTTTATTTTTGTTTTCAAAAGTACAATTGTTGTTCTACTATAATGTGTAATTTGAAATAGACAGACACTACATAGCAGGCACTCAAATACAAAATAGTCAGTCTCATTATTGAAATAACGAACTTCTGCCCTAAAAATATAATTTTTTTGTGAAATCTATATTTGATATTATCGTATAATAGAAAATATTATTTCCAACTATAAATCATAAACAAAGTATGTAATGGAAAAAGATCGGCATTCTCACTTTCCTATATCAATATTCTTCTGAGATTTACTAGAGAATTGAATTCTCATGTAGATATATTTGTACATAACTTTAATTTATTTCATTCAATCTTCTGTATATGAGATTCGTAATGAAACTTTAACTATCTAACTAAAAAACAGTCGTACTATGGTGCAGAGGGAAATGACATTGTAATTAAGTGCATGTTTTGAAGGACATAGAAACGAGAAATATATACCTTCATTCAACTCTATTAGACTAAAATCTAATACGCAATACACATTTTAAAGTGCCAACGCAAACCATCGACATGTCTTCTTAACATCTCATTGGCATTAAACATTTTATCCGATTGATGTTAAAAAATTATTATTCCATTTTTATTTCTAGAATACGGGAATATTTAATTTTCTTGAGCTATTAAACAATTTATTCACTACTGAATGACTTTTAAATACACAAAATATATCGTGACGACGGTACTACCTACATTCAAGGACAAAAATCGGAAATCGAGAAAGAAAGAGAATAAATCCTAGTTTTTGACAACGGCGACAATCTTTTGAATATCAACTTATAAAGTTATGATGGTTTAAAAATAAATTGACGATCTATATGCTTCGATATAGGTTGTACCATCGTAAAGATGCCACATATATAGTACCTTGTGCATTGAAAAGTTATTCAGTAGACAATAAACTATTTCAAAGAAATTTAAATTCTTACTGTAAAACTATAACTGAAAAGTTAGTTAAGGTCTGTATTCTGATTTTTTTCTTTTTCACTGAACTTGAGAAGACAATGTATAGCTAAAATGGTTAAAAACTAAATTTCAATTTGAGCATATATCAGTTCATTCATACATTGCGATATCTATCCCATCTAGAAATTTGAAACATACAGCCTTACATCTGTCATTTTGTATCACCTATAAAAGATTAATTGTTTTCAATTGCTTAGTTCACGTGTAAACTTTCTCTAATTAGTCTTAATAATAATAATGTGTTTGGAACTTGCAAATTTCTCTTAATATTTAACCTACGAAAAAAAGGTTTCCATATGTAGGAGCAGTAACAAAGATGTATCCTCTATATTCTGCTGCAAAGTAGCAGTAATTAAATATTATACGATTTCGTCTCTAGGAGTCATAGAGTCTAACTTCTCCTCGTGAAACATAACTGACGTTTAATAAGCCATGTAATGCGTTTTAAATCTATGACAAAAATACTGGCTTTTAACAGCCAAATAACTGTTAAAAAACGGGACCAAGTAACAGTCAGTTTATTGTCTGTTATGTGATTGCACTGTAAAAAATAGTCGTAGATTAATAAACTATCAAAAAGGGTTTATTGAGATCAATAAACCTTTTAAAAAACGCTTTTCCGTTTTTTATATCTAAAAAACTAAAAAGCGTTCGTGACAGATGCAAAATAAAAAACTCTTCAGTTTTTTAGCTAGTCTTTTACACTCGACAAAAAACTGAAAAGGGTTTTTTATTTTGCATCTGTCATGGTCTCAATAAACCCTTTTTGATAGTTTATTAATCTACGACTATTTTTTACAGTGTGTTGATAAAGGCTAGAGAAAAGGTATTTAACATATCAGAAAATGTTGAAAATGTTGAAAAAAAGCCAGTTAACAGTCACTGTTTACTGTAAATTTCTTGGCTGTTATAATGGCAGAAAACAGGCATTTAACTGAAAACCCTAAGATTTAAAATAACTGTCACAGTTAAATGGCTGTTAACAGACTACTCTTCAATTGCAAAATATACAGCGGAAAAACTGACATTTAAAATGGTTGTTTCATTCATCCTTTTATTTTGCAATCATGACTAATATATGTATATATTAGTAGTGCAAATTTTTCTCTTCCCCCATTGTACAAGTCATTGAAACTTGTCTAGTGGAAGTCGTCGCTGGTTCTGGATCTGGTGCCATTGGTGGCAACGTGGATCTAAGGAACCAAACTCTCGCTCTAACTAAACTTGATATGGTCGTAAAAAGGGTTTCAAAGATACATTTTTTATCTCATTTTTTTATCGACGCCTCTACATTATGATACGTTTGATCAAACGTAGACGATCATAATGTAGACGCCGGTGCCCATGCCCAACTTTTTGCATCTAACGAGAGAACGTTCTTAAGTACCCCCTCGTTTTTTCAACGAAACCTAATGGGTTACATGTTATCGATGATGCTGATTCCGAATATGAATATGAGACCTGCTCTTCTTCGAAGATCCGGTTTTCTGGAAAACCAGTTTTTTCAGGAACTCTGAAAAACAACCAAAGCTTTTCTTAATGAGCCATGCTTGTAGCCCGCACATTTCTGATTAAAATGAGACGTCTTCCAGCTCTACATGACCTTTCTTTGCAAAGTTATAGAATTTACAAGAAAAGCCCTGAATATTCATTGTCAGCTCAAAGCTACAGAAATAAGAAATTAATTTAGGGCTTTTCTTGTAAATTCTATAACTTTGCAAAGAAAGGCCATGTAGAGTTGGAAGAGATCTCATTTTAATCAGAAATGTGCGGGCTACAAGCATGGCTCATTAAGAAAAGCTTTGGTTGTTTTTCAGAGTTTCTGAAAAACTAATTTTCCAGAAACCGGGTCTTCGAAGCCCTAAGAGCAGCTCTCATATTCATAATCGGAATCAGCATCTTCGATAACCTATAATCCACTAGGTTCCGTTGAAAAAGCGAGGGGGTACTTAAGAACGTTCCCTCGTAAGCTGAAATTCTTTTTAAACGATGAAAGCCATCTATGTAAGCGACAAATATGGAGTTAATGGAGTTTCAAACTATTGGATCCTGGCTGACCGCTCGCTACATTGAACAAGTAGGAAGCCCAAAACGGCCAGCCAAATTTCTTCTATAAAGAAATAGAAGCGCAGTTTTCATTTTTCTTCCTTAATTCTTTCTATCAAATATATAATGCAAAAGTAGGATTTCCTAGTCCTACGGTTGAAAAAATTCCGAATTGCATAGTAGAGTTCTGAGAGATTTTGTTAAAATCGACGTATAGTCTTCCGTCCAGAATGAAACCGTAAAATTTCAAATAGTAGTGGAGATTCCGGCATTTATCACCGTCATGTCATTGTTTTTACAGAGAAATTCAAATTCCAATGATATCCTGCTGTATATTTTCCACATCTACACTATTAGAAAACTGAAAGCCGTATAAAATTAGTTTTATACAGTCAATTGGAAAAAAATGAAAAATGTTGTGAGATCTCACCTTATTTTTGATCGTATCAGAAGGTCATGTTCGATTCTCTTGAAGACTGATGTTTCCAAACTTTTTTATCTTGATATTTATTACCTACACATATACGCCTTTTATTTACAACAAATTTCAACTTATACACACGAGATTGAAATAAATATGATACCCCAGTGGAATTTATCAAGAGAAGAATATTAATCATCTGCTAGTTACTTAACTATCGTTTTTTGCAAAAAGTCATCCTGTTTCCGGGTAGAGTAAAACAACATGATCTAGTCAAATATACATTTTCTAGTCATTTTTCATCAATTTTCATATAAAGAATAAAAATTTACGATTCTGTAAATTAGACTTTCAAGTCAAGAAATTGACCGTTACCATCAACACTAACGTTTCTTAATATTTTTAGACAATATTCATGTGAATAACATCAAAATAGGAGAAACACTTATCATACCTATATTGTGGGTTTTCACATCAAGATCTTATGTATAATAAATTCAATATCCTTATTTTTTATAAAAATTTGATCTAGAAAACAGTCTTATATTATCACAATTATT